AGCCCATGGGAAGGAGGCGGGAGTCGGGCCGCAAGTGGGGGAGGGTGGGGATGGGGGGGCAGGGGCAGGGCATACCTTCTTGGACTTCCTCTGCGGGAGCAGCAGAACGGCACCGTGGGGGTGGGGGAGAGAGAAAATCAGCTGTGAGCCTCGGCAAAGGCCGAGGGGGACAGGGGTGAGGGGTGGCGGGGCCCAGCAGAACCACACTGTGAGTAGGTTACTCGGCCCCTGGGCGCCTGGCCACACCCGCACGTGGTCACGCGTGTGCACAGGCACCCACACGGGACTGAAGTCATGGCACATACCTGGTTCATGAACTTCTAGGTTAGGGAGGGCCACGGAACAAGAGGCAACACCACGCGTGGGTCAGAGGTCAAAGGAGGAAGGATCCCAGGTTAATGGAAACACCGGTCGCCACTCGGGGGGCGGGGGGTCAGCGGCCGAGGCCAAGGGGCGGGGAGCATGCGGGAAGCCAGCGAGGCACCATCAGCGTTCATGGGCACTGCCGCCCCCCACCTCCCCGATCCTGTCCCTGCCTCGCTGATCTGCCGGGAGCAGGGCTCAGGGTGGAGTGGCAGACCCCTGGTTGTGGGGGACACTGGGGTCCCCGCCTGTCCTCTGCCCCCCGGGAAGGGCTGACGGGGGCTGGCAGCCTCTGGCTGCGGCCTGGTAAGGTAGCAGCATGAGTCCTGAGGGCAGGGCCTATAGCCCAGGGGTCACCCCTCTCGCCGGCCCCAGAGCAGGGCACCCACCACCCTGTTGTCTAGCCTCCGAGGGACATGCTCGGCTGCTCAGCCCGCGCATCCGGGCACGGGGTCCCCTACCCTGCCGCTGTGCACCTGGATCCTGAAGAGGGGCCCATTGGGCATGGAGGAGGGGTGGCCAGGGAGTGACAGTGTCCCTGCTGGGGGATGATGGGCTGTTCCTCCATCATCCTGCACTCACCTGCCCTCTGGCTTGGGCCCCGACCCGGTCAAGGGGTCACATTCGGCCGTGGGCTCTCGGTTACCCACCCTCAGGGGAGGGATATTTCCAGGGACGGTGAGGCCAGGCCTCCACTGACCCGGTCTCCCTGTGCCGGGGCCTGAGGCCCATCGGCAGCCCTGCCTCTCACAGGGTGCGTGGCCCCGGGGACCCCCCTCTCTGGTTAAGCGTTGGCCAAGGTTAGTGGGTGATGTTAGGGCCACATGTGGGAGTCCTTTGCTGGCTGGCACCTCGCTGCCTCCCCGCCCTCTCCCCCGCCCTGCGTGGGCTCCAGCCAGACCCGGGCCCCACATGGGGACCAGAAGTCCTGTGTCTTCGTACCTTCTTTATGGACTTCTGCGGGTGGAGGGGCGCCTGGCGTGCGGGTGGCGGGAGGAGAGAGGAGAGGTTAGGCCAAGAGCACACGGCACGTCCTTAGGGGGTGGGGACACGCGGGGGGCAGAAGGGCTGAGGGTGTCGCGGGGGCCAGGCTCCTGGACCCCACTTACCTTCCTCCTGGGCCTCTTCTGAGGTGGGAGCCGCGGGACAGGAGGGAACAAGGACAGTCATTAGGGGGGAGCATGAGCAGTGGTGGGAGGGGGCCCTCGGGGAGGAGGGGCAGTGGGTGCTCCAGGCTGGAGGTGGTGAGCCCGGGAGACCTGGGCCTGGACTCTGCCTCTGTCCCGTGAGCACCCTCGGGCCCTTTGCTGCCTCCTTGGGGTCGTGGGACCGCGGCCGCCCGCCTGCCCCAACACGGGGGTGTCTGTGTGGGAGGGTTTTGGCGGAAATGGGGGCAGGGGAGCCTTCGCTGGGGAAGGGGCAGTTCCCCAGGACCAAGGGGCAGTTCCCCAGGACCATGCGTCCCACTCAGAGAGGAGTCTTTCCACCTTTTTTGGCACAAAAAGAAACGTTTTGCTTACGTTGTTAGGCTAGCGAAGTGTTTTCAAAACATGTTCAAAACATAGAACATAGCACCCAGAGCGCCTCACGGCCCAGCCTGGTGAGGGTGTGGGGACGCCTCCCGCACGGTTCCCGGGTGCCGCGGCACCCCTTTGTTCCGCACCCACCCAGGCACGACCGCGGGCCTCCCCCCCAGATGCCAGCCCAAGCGAGGGAGGGGGCTCCAGATCGGCCCGAAGCTTATGCCCCAAGACGGGGATGCTGAGAGAGACAGGGACACAGAGACAGGGAGAGAGACAGAGGCAGAGAGAGGGAGAGACAGAGACAGACAGAGAGAAAGAGTCAGACGGAGAGAGCAAGAGACAGAGACGGAGACACGGGGACAGAGACGGAGACAGAGAGAGGGACAAGCAGGGTCCGCACCACCCGGCCCTTGATGTAGATGAGGGTGAGTCTTAACCGGCACGTGTCAGCTCAGTCCCTGCAGCACCACCGGGATGTGCAGGAACGAAGGATTTTCTTTTAGTGGATTAAGAGATGGGAGGTCAGCAGGGACATCGGAGAGTAGTTAATGATGAGACACACAGTTAACCGACGGACAGGCTCCGGGAGCCGAAGTCCAGGGCGGGTGAGGCCGAGCCGCAAGCAGAGGTTCTGAGCTAAGGGGCGGCGGGGCCACTGGGTCGGGGTGGGGGGCATGCGGGGCTCCCAGAGTTACCTTCTTCCTCGTAATGCTCTGCAATGGGGTAGAACACAGGGGCCGTGTCAGCAGGGGGCGGGGGGCCCGGAGCCAGCTGCCCCAGCCCCGGAACCCTGAGGATGGGGACCGGGGACCCCGAGGAGACTGCCAGCTCCAGGGGAGAAAAGCCCGCAGGGCTGGGGGATCTGGTGCTGGGGCACCCAGGTCCTGCTGGGTGAGCTTGAAGGGGCGGCCAGGGCCCGGGACCCCCTCCCGGATGCCGCGCCGGAGAGCCAGCGGGACAGGCTGGGCATACGGGGCAGGGTTTTCATGTGACCACATCTCGGGGACATGATCTTGGAGAAAGAGGGGGGTCCCAGACGCAGGGGCGGGAGTGGGGAGCCCATGTTCAGAGGGGGTCCCACCCGCCACGGACCGTGACGCTTCTTGGGGTTCCCCGCCAGGGGTCCCCAAGGACAGCCACGTTGTCAACAGTTGGACGGGCCTGCCTCAAGTGTGAGCTTTCCGTCTGGGGTGGACGCAGAGAGGAGACCGTTTGACACTTACCCTCCACCTGCTCACTGTTGGGGGTAGAGGGTAAGAAAGAGAGAAGGGGGGGGAGAGAGAGAGAGAACGGGTGAGGTGGGCTTTCACTCAGTGGCTCGTAACAAACACCAGCAGGTCCTCTGGCCTCTGAACACAGCTCAGGTCCAGGGGCCCACACGGGGCGGGCAGCTACTCAGACTGGTACTCACACTTCCTCGTCCGACATGGTGGGAGGGTTGTTTCTGTGGGGGCGGGGGGGGGGGAACAAGACGAGAGTCAGGAAGGCCTTGGTCTAGGAGTGCTGGCGTGGGCGAGCGCTGGGCTCTTAGGGCTGGGGGTGTGAGGGGACGTCCAAGGACAGGGTGGAGGCCAAGTGTCCGGCCTTGGGCGGGCCTCCTCACCAGGCCCCCACAGCCCTCCTCACCGGACTCTGCTCCCACCCTGCCCCCCTTCCTGCCCCGGCTCCAGCCTGGAGCTTGGAATCGCAGAGTTGGACGGGATGCTGGAAGGTCGTGGCGTCCACCCCCACCCAGGGCCGACATCCTCTGTATAGCACTCCCCGAGGAGGGGCGTCTAGGCTGCTTTGGACAGCAGGGAAACCCTGCTGACGCGGACTCAAAACCCGCTTCGTGATGGGCTGTGCCTTTGGGCCGAGGTCGGGGGGCTCCCCAGGAGCCCCTAGATTACAGAGCCCAGCTCCCCCAGTGTGTGTGCCTGGCCCCCGCCATCCCTGTGACAGCCTCTCCTGGTGTGAGCTCCAAGCTCCCTTTCCCCATTGATGCTTTCCTGCAGGGACCCCACGTCTTCCTTCTGGGGTGCCCTGGGCACCCCCAGGGCCCTGTGCAGCCCCCTCTCTCCAAATCACAAGAACGTACGAGCCGTTCCGTCTTCTCGTCTCCCCACCTCCCCCCGAGCTCACGGGGACGGGATCTGGCCGCGGCCGCGTGCCCCCAGCCCGGGGCCCGAGCGCGAACGGAGTGGCGGCCCCATCTGGCTGGCCCTCCCCGGCCTGCTTTCCCAGGCCCCTCGGACGCTCTTGAATTTGTCAATGTCTGCAGGGAAGCTCACGTGTGCAGGTGCGGCCCGCGCCAGGCCAGTGCGCTCAGGGACCCTCTTTCCGTGAGCTGGCCGCCGCACATGCCTGAGGCGGCCCGGGGCCTGGGAACGCTCTGAGCAGCTGTATCACACTGTTGGCCCGGGGTTTTAAAACACAAAGTTCATGACAACATATCACAGCTTAGTGGAAGACAATAGCCGTGCCCCCCCAGGGAGCTGCGTATAAGAAAACACAAGCTCATCATCCGAGGAGCCCTGAGCATCACAGCGCTAAGGTGGGAACAGTTTTCCGAAGCCTCTGTCAAGAATGTTAATTTTCCCAGAGCAATTTAAGCTCCGTGCAGAATTAACCCACAGATCCCTGCTCCCCCCACCCCAGCCCGGGGAAGCGCGTGGCTCTTCCCTGGAAGAGGGCTCGGCCGCCCCCTCCGGTTACAGCCTCCCGCCTCGTGTATGGCTGGGGTCTCTCCCTGTTCCCGGGCCCGGTCTCTCCCCGTGGGCCCTGTCCCCAGCACCCCAGCCCACCGGGGGCCACTCTCTAGGATGGGAGGCTCCATGAGAGCCCGGGGCCTCGCCCTGCTGGCCCCCCCTCGACCCGGCCAGGGCCCTACACCTGTTGGCAGCCTCAAGTGGGGGCTGGTGTGGCCTGAGCCCAGGGGCCGGTTATTTTTAAGGAGCCAGTGGCAGCTGAGGTGTCCAGAAATAGGCACCCAAATCAGCCAAGACACCTCTGCCCAGAAACCCAAGACGCTGGGAGGGGGGCTGAGAGGGCAGCCGCGGAGCTCAGGTCTCCTCCTGGCCAGCTTCCCGCCAGCCCCCGCAGGTGTCCCAGGCCCGCCTGACCTCCTGCATCTTGCCTTCCTGCCTTCTGGGCTGGTGTCCAAGGGGGTGCCCAGGAGGACCCCCGTATCCCCAGGCAGGGTGCCCGCAAGCCCCTGGCAAAGTCTCACTCTCCCGGGGGAAGCTGATGCTTCTCCTTCATCCTGCCCCTCTGGCCAGGGGAGCCCTGAAGGACACATCACAGGGCTGCTCTGTCCCCTCACCTCGCTGTCTGTCGGGGAGGGGCCAAGGTGGGGGGTGCCAGAGGGCAGGGACGGCATTTCGACAGCTGGGAAGGAAGCCCATCCCTCAGCGAAAATAGCCCCTGAGGTCAGACCTCCTTGGAGACACATAACCCCTTCTCTCCTTCCCAGGTGACGAGATAGGGTGGGAAAGGTGGGAGGCCCTGTCCTCACTGGCTGTGGGCCCCCGGCCGCGTCACCACTCCCCGGCTGGGCCCCCACCGTATCCTGCAGTGGCTCCTGGCCCGGCCTCCCCCGGTGGCTGAGGACACCAGCAGGTGCGGGCGCCCGGTCTGGGTGAAGTCAGGAGGGTAGCTGAGCCCACGGCATGGGGCAGGGGGAGGCGGAGGGCAAGGAGCAGGGTGGGGCCCTGAGGAGCATGCCCTCCACCCTGCGAGGACAGAGGCCCAGGTCCCCACTGCGCCCCCTGCCTGGGCCCGTCTGCCTCTGTCCTTGACCTCTGGGAGGTGCCCCTGGGGCTGCGAGGGTCCCGGCCTCCCCTCCTCACGGAGCTGCCCCTGGGGATGAATTACACAAGCCCCCCGACGTGTTCGTCTCTATAAATGCCAGGATTGGAGGCAATGACTGATTGAGGCCAAGAACCCCCGGCTTGTGCGAGGGGCTGGCCTTGGTGCCCTCAGCTTATTGGAGTCCCCGGGGAAAGGCCCAGATGGGCCGGGGCTGGGGGGGGGGGGCAGGAAACGGCGCCCGGGGGCCCTCGGGGCTGTGGGCAGCGCCCTTCCTGGGCACCTCTGTCCAGCCCTCTGCCCCGTTCCTTCCAGGGAGCCCCCACCTTCCTCCTCGGGCCACCCCGGCTGTCGCGTTCCCGTTCAGAGTGGCTTCCCCCACGTCCAGAGAGCATCGCCCTCTGCGCCAGCACCCTTGGGACCCTGGGCTGTCTTCGTGGGCTCTCCAGGCCGCCACGCTCGGAGCTGAGACATGTGCGAACACGACGGCCTGGCCCCTCTCAGCACCCCGGGACCCAAGACGTGCCTCAAATGCCGGGCCGGCCCCGCCCAGCCCTGGGCCATACCGACCTGTGGCTGAGTCTGGAGAGAAGGGTTAGAGCTCCCTGTGGACAGGACCGGCTCAGGCACTGCCCGCTCAGCTCACGCCCTCATGTTATAGTGACATTTGATCTTTCCCAGCAGCCCATTGGCCAGGGGCTGGGTGGCCGGGCATGTGGGGCAGGCGGGAAGGGGCCGTGCCCACACAGGCCCCTTACCAAGTATAGGAACAGCAGAGGAGGAGGCCTGAGGAGGCGCGGATGTGGGGGACGTGTCTGGAGACGGAGGCAAGGTCCACCCTCCTCCCCGGGAAGTGTCAGCTTCTATTTTTACTCCCCCGACAGCGGGCACATTCTCGATGGGCTGAGGAGGGGTGACGGGAGGGACGGGGTGGCCCCAGGGATGCAGCCAAGGCCCTCTCTGGGCCAGGCTGCTGGGGGGTCCCAGACGGGGGCCCTGACTCCCCCAGTCCAGCTGCCCCCCGCCCCCCACGGTGTCTGGGGCGTGGGCACTTTGCCCCGGGCCCACCCGCGTCCTCCATCGGAGCACGCGGCCTGGCGTCCCAGAGACCGCCGTGGAGAGCAGGGCTCTGGGCGTCCTCAGCCAGGCCTCTGTCCTGTCTGCGCCCCACTTAGTGACCAGGCCTGGCTCTCGCGTGGGTGCTGTCGGGGCACAGGACAGACGGGTGAGAGAAGAAACAGCCCAAACAGGGTCTCGACTGCTGACGGTCCTGCTGGGTCTCCCCCAGCGACCGGGGCCATACCGCTTCCTTCAGCCTGGGAGCCGCCGTCTGGGGGTCCAGGCCCCGGGGTCCTCTCTCCCCGAGGCCACACTCAGCGTGCCGCTCAGGGCGGGCCCCGCCACGTGCCCGTGGAGCCCGGCCGTTCTGTCCACAGAACTCCAGATGGCACCATCCGCCCGGCAGACACCTTTCCCGGGCCTCCGATGGCCCCCTCACTAGCTGGCAAGGCCACGAGCTCCGACGGGCCTGACCCTCGGATTAGGGAAACCGAGACACGAAGAGGGGTCAGAGCGGGCCGGCACCTCCTTCCAGACCCGAGGGCTCCAGGCAAGGGAGGAGCACCGACGGTGGGGTCTGCTCGGTGCGCAGGACCGGGGTGAGCCCTGGGGAGACCCAGAGGAGGCTTCCGGTCAAGGACGTCGGGGGGCTCGCACGCCCCAGCCCCCAGCTCTCTGCCTGCTCTGGGGCCTCAGAAGCTTCCCGAAGGCTTCCGCTGGCACCTCATTCAATCCCTGCAAGTCGGAGATAAGGCCACAGGGACCCACGACAGGAGAGGCATGCCCACTGTCACACAGCAGGGGGAGGCAGGGACCTTCTCCCTCCTGCCTCGCGGAGGCTGGAGTTACTGGGGACACCCCTGCCCCCTGCCCCCCGTTCCCGTCTGATTTTGTTCCTGCCGTCTGATGCTGTCTCCCAAGCTGCCCAGATCCTCGGATGGGCCAGGGTTTCGGGGGGCCACATACAGCTGACCCTTGGCCAACCCTGCCCAGCGGGGCCACCTGAAGACTCACTTCTAGGGAGGGCCCCACGAGGCTCCCGGGGGCCGCCGTGGCCTCTTTCCTGTGGTAAGGTTTCCCTTCTCAGGCTGGCTCCTCTGGGTCCTCACCACCCCCTGCCCCCCCAGACATGGGCACACTCGTGGGGACAGCACGTTCGGGACCATTCGGCCTTGTCTGTAGGCTGTGCTGGGGCTTGGTCGAGGAAACCCCGTGCACACCCAGCCCCGCTCAGACCACCTTGCTCCCGGGAGCCACCCGCTGCCCCTTGCCGCTCTTAGGAGCGGCACCTGCCGACGGGCACGCCCAGGCCCTGCAGTGGCCCTCCTCGGCCAGCAGAGGAGGGTGGCCGCCCACTCAGTGGCCTCGGCCCCTGGCAGGTGCTCTCCCGTGAACGGGCCGAGCCAGAGAACGGGCGCTGAGGTCAGAGGAGGAACAGCACAGGTTTTATTTTGGGTATCCGTGACCTCCCCCTCAGGGCACCAGGCCCGTGGTGCGGCCGGACAGCATTGAGCAGGCTCTGCTGGACAGGCCGCAGGCCTCCGAGAACCTTCGACAGGTAATCCACACCCCGGTCCACCTGGCCTGGCCGGGCAGGGGTGGGAGGAGAGGGGCAGGGCAGGGGCCTCCCCGGAGGGCTGGAGGGGGTCTGGGGTCCCGGGGTGGGGGCAAGGGAGAAGGGGGGCCCAGCCCTGGTCAGGGAGGAGGATGGGTCTCAACCCCAGAGAGGGTTTGAGAACTGACCACGCAGGCCCTGGGCCCAGGGGCGGTGGGGGTGGCTTCCAAAGCCGGAGGTGCTGAGCGAGGCCACAGAGCAGGGAGGAAGCCGGGACAGGGAGAGGCGGCCCCAGGGCAGTTTGGCTCCAGCTACCCTTCAGGGGGGACCCTAGGGTGGCGGGGGAGAGCGGGGCCCCTCAGTCTGGTCCGGGCCCTGGTTTGCACGGGTGGGGTGGCGGGGCCCGAGGGACCTTGAACAGGTCCTGGGCACCCACACTGGTGCCAGCCCCACGGGCTTGGGCTCTGCCAGGCCCCAGATAGAAGCGGCTGACGCAGCACTTCAGAGACGGTCCTGCCACAGCCCCATGCGTCTGCGGCCCCACCAGCCTGGGTGCCTCTTTACCAGATCACTGGTCTGTTCCGCCTCCCGCATGCGGGGCTGGAGTTCTGCGCCGGGGTGGGGCTCTCGGGCAGGCGGGACCGATGGCAGAGAGGCAGTGCCTGGGTATCCCAGTCCAGGTTCCCCTTGGGCAGGAGCCCTTCTGAACCTCTGGACCCTTCTGGCGCACAGGCCCCGACCCGCAGTCTCTGAGAGGCAGGGTCTTACGTCATGGCGGTAGCGGGCTTGGAGATACTCAGAGGAGACAAGCCCTGGGTCCCCATCCCCGAGGCTGGGCTGGGGTGCGAGGCTCCTGAGAGGGCCGGGGTGGGTCAGGGCAGTGTGGCCGTCTGGCTTCCTGGCACCGTCCACCCCACCCGCCGCCTCTCATCCCGTGGCGTCATCCGCTCTGACCCCGGCTCACTGTACCGCCATGGGCTTTGCAGCCGCCTCTGCCGCTCACCTTGGCTGATGTGCCATCCCGCTGGGTGGGGAGGGAGGACGTGGCGTGCCCGCTGGGAGATGCGCCCCGGCTGGCAGAGCACGGCCCTGGACAGTCTCCAAGGTGGGCCGTGGTAAGAAAAGATGGCTGTGGCTTGGTGGAGCGTTAATGCTCCTGACTGGTCCGTATTTACTCCATCCTCCAGGAGGCAGGCCGATTTTAATCACAGAGACTTCTGAAAATGGAGGTTCCCAGCAGAGCCAGACCTAGAACGCCAAAGGTCCAGTGGTCCTGCTCTTCACTGGGTTCCCCAGACAACAAGGGCAGCAGAGCCCAATGTCAGATCTGGGTGCGGGCCCAGGGCTGGGGAGCACACCCTCCGCCCTGTCTCCGCCTTCACACACTGGTCCGTTCACCCACCCACCTGTTTGTTCCCATCCGTTCTCACATTCGCTACCTTCTTTCCTCCCTTCCACTGTCCATCCAGCCATCATCCATGTGCCCACCAACACACCCAGCCAGCCAGCCAGCCACCTACTACCCATGCAGCACGCATTGATCTGACTGCCTCTCCATCGCTTCTTCCATCTCCTGTCCATACAATGGTTTTTCTGTCCAACTACCTTCTGTACATCCACCCATGTACCCGTCTATCCTCTATCAATCCATCTATCCATTAGCCAAGATTCATCCACCCATCTTGCTATTTATACATCAGTCCACCCCCCTATCCATCCCTCCACTCCTTCACCCATCATCCATCATCCATATCTGTCCATCCACCCTTCCATCTATCATCCCTCCACTGGCCCATTCGTCCATCCATCCATCCATCCATCCATCCACCCGTCTGTCCATCCATTCGTCCATCCATCCATTCGTCCATCCACTCATCCATCCATCCATCCATCCATCCATCCATCCACTCATCCATCCGTCCATCCACTCATCCATCCATCCATT